TTTTTTATTATGTTTCAATATCATGAATGTTAAAGTACTGTATTTGTTGTATCTATGATTGATATGAGCGGACGCTGACCATTAGTAGGAGGTGAGAAGGTCAAAAGTCGTATGAATTTGTGGCTATTTTTAGCACCCTATATAAGTATGTGCACTAGCTGACCCTAGGTCACTAGCCTGCTGAAGATGATGGAGGAACAAGGTGTGTACCTTCTTTTTACATCATGATCTAATTTTGAAAAATATCTAAGTGAATTTTATTACCCACCACCTCCCCTTCTTGCCTCCTTCTCAATATGATTATTACTTCTTAAAGGGGCGTTTTCTTACCCCATCTAAGACTTTTAAGTACATTGGACAAAAACTTTAAAAGATAAAGTTTTTATATAAACATGTCGTTTTTAATAAAAACGGCCATTTTCAATTCATTTGAAGTGTTCTAGTTGTTTATGCACTTAACATGTCTTACAAGCTTGCCATAGTGATATTTACTTGGAATCAGGCATAAGTAGTTGTATTAACAGAGAAATGCCTTAATATCAGTGGGCGCACTTCAAATAATATGTACCCGACTATTTCATCAGCTTATGAGGATAGCTTTGAGCCTGTTTAAAATATCTATCAACCTTCAATTCAGATATGAACCGGTGATCATAAAAAAACTCATTGACACTTTATTTTCAATTTGATTATCCTTATGCACTTTATAATGTTTTGATTTTTTCACGGATCATTCTTTTTACTAATGACAACAAAAACGCAGATCTTTGTTTGGTGTTAAAAACAAATGTTTTAACCAATATATATATATTTATTAATAAAATATTCTTTAATGACAGTATATTTGATAATGACGACAAAATGACGATTTTGTACCCACACCGATATTTTTGATATGAAAATTAGTTCTTTGTTCCCTTCTTTTTTGACAATTATTTTGATTAAATTTGTTTTAATACCGTTAATCTTTTTATAATAACAACACAAATGCCGCTTGTTAAACAAATTTGTGCATAAATACATATGTTTTATAATGAAAAAAGTTTATTTTTCCTTCTCTAATGACAATTATTTGTATTCGATTTGCGTACATTTTTTAAATTCTTTTAATAATGACATCAAATATGATGCTCGTAAAAACAGCTTATAAAAATATTTTCATTTTCTCTTCTTTTATTAAAATATATTTTATTTTATTTGTACCTTATTTATCATTAATCTAAATCAGCTTGATACAACTTGACATCATGGTGTACTTGCTTACAGCCATGACCACAACAACTATCAGTACATAACGTCGCGCCGTCAGTGATCTATTTAGCAGCCAGCAGTGTTTAATTATTGAGGTGTTGGTGCGCTAGTCTCCATTCGTGACCTCGAGGTTATCACGGTTACTAATCATGTTATTCTTTCAGAATCAATTATTTTGATCTGTGGTGTCTTCTTTCGTAATTAATGATAGCATGAAACATACAAAAAATACACAGATAAGCTTGATTACCTCCGGTGCAAAAAAACCCATAGTGTTTGTCCAAAAACATGCTAATTGCAAAAAGTAGCTGTTATTTACTAAGGGATGATGTTCCAATTTTTCATCCATCGTCGGCAAAATAATCTCAACAACAACTTCGAGAACAAACAAACAGTTATATGAGACCGACGCACCGCTCAAAGCATGGTCAATTTTATTGAAAAATATCCATGCAATACATTTTTTTTACAACATTGAATTTAAAATTAAATGGTAAGAGTGTTGTGATTTGTTATGATTATTTGAAGAATTTAATGATAAAACTATTTGCAAAAGTTAAGCAAACAGAAACAAAACCAAAATTAGAATATGGGGTTCTAATACTTGAACTGATAAAGCTTAAGAAAAACAACAATTTTGCATCGACTGAGCAACGTTCTCAACTAAAAGTAATGGCTTTATCCGATCAGCATATTAATGTATATTATGGCATGCTTAACCGGAAATCAAATTAGTTTTTACTTTTGACTTACACCTTGTCAAAACCTTCGATCGTGTTGATGATATTATCAATTTTAGGAAGTTTCTAAAACGCTTTCTAGAAATTCACATACAGGTGATTACACCTTTATACTTTGGAAATAGATACAGTGTGTCAAAAAGAATTGCACTGTACCATACAGCTGTTTCCTCATGCTAGGACGCGTAGGTGATGGTATGGGCCAAAAATAGGGAAATTCAAATTATGCTGACCAACTGCTCAAACAGAAGGAGAGACATGTCAAACCCCTTATATTTCTAAACATTTTCTTCAGATTGGTAATTATGGATTACGTATGTACAATAGTTGTTATATATGTACCGAAATATATAACAACTATTGTACATACGTTTCCAGCGTAGCCGAAATCGACTTCGATTTTATGGACAACTCGTACACATTTTACACCTTTGTGTGCATACGCTTCATTGGTCATTTGTCTGATGAAGGTGACAGTGTACATATCGTTCTAGTCATCGAAACGTCACATAGAAAATTGTATTAGTTGTGTAAAAAGAACTTCTCATAACCCTTATGTATATGCATTCTTAAAATGGAAGAGGAACACTGCTAATATCAAATTACATAACGAATTAGGTATGCATGTTAAATGCATTTTAAAGCACAATTGGGGAAAATGACTTGTCGAATATTAGATATTAAAATATAAGCGTTGTCCAGTAAGTGACCAGTAAAGGAAGATACTATTATATTATGTTAGAAAACTTTTTTCTCTCCAGAATTATTTCAACGAATGTGTTTACTGTTACTGTTCGCAAGCGTCCTAGCCGTGTGTTAACGAGCGAGGGAAATAAATGTACGAATCAAATTATCTCGTGCATATTAATTTAGATACAATTAAATAAAATAAATGTGTCACATATTCACGAATCAATAATTCAATCGGAGCATTTCGCTTGGTTTTGTTTGTTTGTTTGGTTTTTTTTATGTATTCATTAATTTCATCAATTTTATTTATTTATTTTTTGAGTGTTGATCATGTATTTTATTGTGATTTGGTGCCGTCTTTTGAATTCCAACAGTGTTTTTGTGTGTTGCCGCTATGGTATTTTTTCTATAGGAGTACACACTGTACTAATTTACTCTCTGACTGCCTTTAAAAAAACAAATAATTTCAAACGTTCATTCATGCTATCTGTAGATATTTCAAGTCTGTTCCAGTGCTTGCGTTCTGTTGAACTAAAATTGATTGCCACTCTTCTGTACTCGAAACCTGTCCTCCTGATGCGCGACCGAGCCTATGACACACCATTAGGTATGCTGCGCGACCGATCTTATGAAACACCATTAGGTATGCTGCGCGACCGAGCCTATAAAACACCATTAGGTATGATGCGCGCCCGAGCCTATCAAACACCATAAGGTATGATGCGCGACGGAGCCTATCAAACACCATAAGGTATGCTGCGCGACCGAGCCTATAAAACACCATTAGGTATGATGCGCGCCCGAGCCTATCAAACACCATAAGGTATGATGCGCGACCGAGCCTATCAAACACCATTAGGTATGCTGCAAGACCGAGCCTATAAAATATAATTAGGTATGCTGCGCGACCGAGCCTATGCCAAACCATTAGGTTTGATGCGTGACCGAGCCTATAAAACACCATGAGGTATGCTGCGCGACCGAGCCTATGAAACACCATTAGGTATGCTGCAAGACCGAGCCTATAAAACACCATGAGGTATGCTGCGCGACCGAGCCTATAAAACACCATAAAGTATTCTGCGCGACCGAGCCTATGAAACACCATTAGGTATGCTGCGCGACCGAGCCTATTAAACACCATTAGGTATGCTGCGCGACCGAGCCTATGAAACACCAACAGGTATACTGCGCGACCGAGCCAATGCAAAACCATTAGGTATGATGCGTGACCGAGCCTATTAAACACCATGAGGTATGCTGCGCGACCGAGCCCATGAAACACCATTAGGTATGCTGCGCGCCCGAGCCTATAAAACACCATTAGGTATGCTGCAAGACCGATCCTATAAAACACCATTAGGTATGCTGCAAGACCGATCCTATAAAACACCATTAGGTATGCTGCAAGACCGATCCTATAAAACACCATTAGGTATGCTGCAAGACCGATCCTATAAAACACCATTAGGTATGCTGCAAGACCGAGCCTATAAAACACCATTAGGTATGCTGCGCGACCGAGCCTATGAAACACCATTAGGTATGCTGCGCGACCGAGCCAATGAAATACCAACAGGTATGCTGCGCGACCGAGCCTATAAAACACCATTATGTATGCTGCGCGACCGAGCCTATAAAACACCATTAGGTATGCTGCAAGACCGATCCTATAAAACACCATTAGGTATGCTGCAAGACCGAGCCTATGAAACACTATTAGGTATGCTGCAAGACCGAGCCTATGAAACACTATTAGGTATGCTGCAAGAATGAGCCTATGAAACACTATTAGGTATGCTGCAAGACCGAGCCTATAAAACACCATTAGGTATGCTGCAAGACCGAGCCTATAAAACACCATTAGGTATGCTGCAAGACCGAGCCTATGAAACACGGTGGTTTCATTTTAGTAAGACTCACCAGAGCCCATATTTATGAAACCGTTCTCATTCTTAAGCATGGATTCTGTGCTTAAACCAACTTTCGTGTAACTCACCTTTGTCATGTCAAACGATCAAAACAAGTCAAATGTAAACATTGAAAACAGTATGTCGGGGGTTATGCTGTTTGATATCCATATTTCAATTTGCTATGTAGCAGTTCCATACCGTGACAACTGCCAACAACAAAAATGGTTTAATTAAGTAGATGTTCTATTGCAAAGACCAGGGTAAAATTAGCTACACATCAATCTCTTATCATGTTCGTGTTCTGGGATGTGTGTCTTGTTTTCGATTCAATTTTTGATTTATTTCCTGTTGTTGTTGATTTTAATGTGTTTTGGGGTATATTAGACGCTACAGGTAGCTATGCACACAAACTATTTCCTTGACTACAGGGACAAATTATTGCCTTTTTCATCCATATCATTTGTGGGTGAGGCCATGCCCCATTGATTGACAACCTGCTGAAAACTGATTACCATTAATAAATAATCAGTACCAGTGCTGAAACAAAACAGAGCTCAAGTAGTCTTAGCATATATTATTCCGACAGATAAAATTCCAAAAACAATACAAATTAGTCGTTTTTATTTGAGTTATGTCAAAATGTTAGCAAAGATACCGTAGCCTACATGCAATGTATAACATACTATTTTTTTCGTATATGTGGTTAGCTTTGATGCTCTCTAATTTTAAATGAAGCTGCAAATGCTCTTCAGCATGCCAGGAACGTAATAAGATAACGTGTCGGTGATACGGTCTACTTTCTTTGATGTTATGTGGGTGTGGAACTTCGTATTTGCGCATGTGCATTGGCAGATTCCAGGTAAAAGTATCGATAAAACGCTACAATGCGTTGAACGAGAATGCCGGATTTTTCATTTTTTCAAACAAATACGCCAGGACATGTACAGAGACGTCAAATTCAGCTCTAGACTTAGTGAATTATGTCTTAGAATTTCTACAGGGACGTTGGAGAAGAAAAAGAACTATTGCAGAATTCAAAATGATTGTTCAGTATGGCCAAGTCGGAAGGTCATATACGATGTTGAAGTTTTATGAAAATGCGCTCCTTGAAGTTTCGATACTGTCAAAAATATAAAGCTTTTACTCTAACACACAATTGGGAAATATCAGTCACATGAATCAGACAATTTTACGAATGCTATTTGGAAAGGAATTATTTATTGAATCGCAACTTCAGATGAAGAGACAAAACTACCGAGATACTATTGAGGACAATAATCTTCTCCGTTGTAATTTATTGAAGTAAATCTACAAACTTCCATTGTCATAACGGATAAAAAAACTTTACTTTGAACGCAAGATCGTACAATTTATCAACAGTAAATCCCGACTGAGCAGGATGAGTACATTAACAGTACCAGTGCCTACTGGGCAGTTCAGAAGAAGAAGCTTAAGTGGTGATCGAGATTTCAACTTCAAGAGAAAGAAGATGCCCGACTCGTTGAAACATTTAAGTGTGGTAAGTAAGTTGATATCACGACTACATCTTCACAAGGCCGTGCTTGTTCTGCTGGGGTCGCTGATGGTATTCCTCTATTTCTGCGTTTGCCTTAATTTTACTTTCAGACAGAGGAAAACAAGGAATGATGACAACGAGCCTGATTTGGATGTGTGTTCCATGACGGCGAAATCTGCTAATATATTCAACGATTTGAAACAAACAATTACGACCGGAAGTCTGAGTGCGTTGTCCCACCATCGTGAAAACGATCGCGCATGGAGAGAGCAACTTCTACAGAGTTTCGATTTAAATGAAAATTTGAAGAATCCATTCGAAAATATCACATATCCGACAGAGGGAGACATGCTTGAAATATTACAAAAACACAAAGACGGAAAAACGTCAGACAAGGTTCCGGATATCATTAACAATTATCCGTTTTCCTTTATACTAACACCATCGGAGCAATGTGGCGAAATGCTGAATCCGAAACAAAATGTATATTTGTTGTTTATCATAAAGTCATCATTGTCGCATATCAAACTTAGAAACGCCATTCGGAACACGTGGGCAAATAGTACTTTTACGAACGGCTACACCATCAAGAGGGCTTTTCTGTTAGGACAAAGTAACGACAACGAGGCTGTCGAATCAGCATTAAAATCAGAGGCTGCCTTATATGGAGATATATTACAAATGGATTTTATTGAAAGTCACCGTAATAGTACTTGGAAATCACGTGGTGGCTTGAAATGGGCGTCAGAAAATTGTTCAGGTGCCAAATACGTTATGTTAGTTGATGACAATCAATATGTAGCTACTGATATGGTGATTCAGCTGCTGGAATTCATGGGGAAACTAGATAACCTGTATATGGGATGGGTGAACTGGCGCCCTGCGCCTTTCAGGTCAAAGGTTAGTAAGTGGTATGTTTCCCGAGAGGAGTATCCTTACCCGTTGTACCCAGCGTTTGTAAGTACTAGTGCCCTTCTCATGTCCATGGATTTTGTTATGAAAATCAATATTGCTAGTATGTATACAAAACATTTTTTATTTGACGATGTCTTTCTGGCTATTGTAGCTAACAAATTACATATTTCTCCAATCAGTAATAAGCTGTTTTACCGTGCTAACATTCCGTACATAAATAATTTGTTTGAGACCACCCTCGCTTGTCATGGATATTACACACCCTGGGGTTTATATAATGCGTGGATGGTCCATCTGTTAATCAGATGTTACGGACATAATATTCTTAATCATTTTCTGATGAAAACTGGAAACCGACGATCACAACATCCAATCCATTTTTAGCCAGGTCTGGGACGTTCAATTAAGGATTTAACAGTTGTGTATATTGTAGTATGGCCGTTGTGACATTAAATGTACATGGATTGTCTTTATATATAAATGGCATAAAAAACATAGAAAACGTAGACTTTTATAATGGACGGTTACGAAGTCTAAAGATACTTCGAAAGTTATTACCAATTTTGTTTTACGTAATTTTATGTAACCTTGTCATCCTGTGGTATGTCTTGTTGACGTCTTGGTGCTTCAGTGTCAGATTCCCCAGTTTGAATATAATTTTATTGCAATGGTCTGTGCATCAAAGAATGATTTTGTTTGGTGTTTGTTTGTGAGAGGTGTTCAATATCTACAATAAACGCTATATTGATTCCAATTCCTACATTTCATCACATATTTGAAAAGATAAATAAACATAACTGTTATCCATTTTCATTTTTGCAGCAGTTTCCCATGATGCTCTTCTGCAATTTCGAGATCGTTCATTCATAAAAAAAAAAAAAGGCCATAAAGTTATAAAATAGATATGTTAAAATGATATACATGTGACCACCTCCATTGAAATTTTAAATGTACCACCCGTATAATAAGAGATCACTTAATGTTTCCCACTCAAATGAAAGAAACCATATCCGTTGCCATCCTCGGTACTCCTTGAGTTATGCTGTCGCTCTCAGCACCCCTGAATATGTCATGGCAACATTGAAGGCTCATTGGGCGTCACCTTGTGGATGAAACAAGGAGACTATTTTGATCCTTTCATGTACATAAAAAGAATCTCGCGGTAGCATAATGGTTAAATTGACTGGCATTGAAGTCTGCTGTCGCTCCCCTGTTATATTCAAAGGACATGTAACAGCCTAGCGATTGGTCATTTTTGGGTTTTTTACCAGAGAGCAATCAAATAGCTTGCCGCGTACCTTCAATTATGCTACGACATATTCTAGGGGTGCAAAGAGCAAAACTGAGCGTAACCCCTTAATATCGAGGATGCTGCGTTGCATATTCACTAGATAGTCTCTTAATGTAGGACTCTAAAGTGTGATGCTTTTTATTTAAATAAAGTATATGTCTTTGTGGTGTTGGAAAATGTCTCTTGAGAGGGAAGATTGAATTATAAGGGTAATCCGGCTCTAGACAGGTTCGACTGTAGTAAGAAGATGGTGTGTAGACGTAATTAAAACCCTTCTAAAGTGTTTCTTTGTGTATAATATAAGAATATGTTTATATGGGGTAAATAATGTCTCAATTGCTAAGAGACTGCATTATGTTTATGTATATATATATATATATATATATATATATATTTGCTTGCCCTTCAATAATATTCTAAAAGTCTTTCGTTACTGCTGATACTTACAAACATACACAGAATTTAAGGGGAACGAAAATAGGGTTTAATCAATTTCAATTGCGTTGAACTTTTCATTAATAAATATTGCTCTTGAAAAGTGCGTTGTGTTTATAACATGAACAAAACATTTTAAGTAATTCATACTTATGATACAGACAGCCCGTTGAAATTATTATTTATACGAAGAAGTAATGACACAAACAATAAATATGACACAAACTCACTTCACAAATACATAGCAAGCTACATAGTGGTGGTCCAGTGGCGCAGTGGATCATTCGCCTTTCACCAAGGCTGCTGGTGTGCCATTCCCCGATCTGACGTGAACGGTTAGGGATCACCTTCCCGACCATGTAGGTTTTCTCCGTGTACCCTGGTTTCCTCCAACATTAAGACCACCAGCGCCATAACATCCGGGCCAACAAGAGTGATTAATATAAGTTGTAATTTGTTTCATAAATGTTGTAAAATGAATAAAGTTTATATACTTACAAAGTGTAGCTTGTAATACAATATTTCACCAATGTGCCGTTTTTGTTTTTGTTAATTTTTAAGATGCCCGTTCATTTTTTTATCTTATTTTTAAATTATTGGTTTGAGGGCAACAGNATCTTATTTTTAAATTATTGGTTTGAGGGCAACAGATATTATGTTGTACTCGAATATCAGCGCCAAGGGCGACATTTTGGTCTAAGTGTCA